TCCACTATTTTAGAAGATCATTTATTTAACTGAGGAAGGCTTTGTCCACAAGTTTAGAAGATTTAACTGAGGAAGGCTTTGTCCACTATTTTAGAAGATCATTTATTTAACTGAGGAAGGCTTTGTCCACTAGTTTAGAAGATTTAACTGAGGAAGGTGAAATTGCTTTTATTTTTAGTTAGATAATCTGTGAGAATTCCTAGAGGAATTAAAACCTGTATTAAGTTGTGAAAGTTATAACAACTAAGTTGTCAGAGCTTAATAAAAATGTATATCGCTAATAATTTTCCATTACAACAACTGCACGAGGTATTTTTATTTATAGGAACTTATTCCAACAATTTTCCATTACAACAACTAGCTAGAGCATTTTTATTTATAGGAACTTATCCCAACAATTTTCTGTTACAACAACTAGCTAGAGTATTTTTATTTATAGGAACTTATCCCAACAATTTTCTGTTACAACAACTAGCTAGAGTATTTTTATTTATAGGAACTTAACAATGGAAATGCTAGCTAGGATTAATACATTTTATCAGTCTTGTCTATATAGGCTTATTACACAAGATAACATATGTTTGTGTTGGTTCGAGAACTTTGTATTCAGGTTATGTATCCCTACTTATCTCGTGAGCCAGTGCTCGACACAATACTTGTTGTAACAGAAAATTGTTGGGATAAGTTCCTATAAATAAAAATATCACGTGCAGTGTTGTAATGGAAAATTGTTGGGATAAGTTCCTATAAATAAAAATACTCTAGCTAGTTGTTGTAATAGAAAATTGTTGGGATAAGTTCCTATAAATAAAAATACTCTAGCTAGTTGTTGTAACAGAAAATTGTTGGGATGGGTTTACAGGATTCTTTGACACCGGTTTACTGAAGAGTTCTTCCACGTATCCTAAGAACTTTTTATTAGCCACAGTGGTTTATTGTCCTTTTATGGATGTACAAAAAAGAAAATTGTACATTATATCCGCCAGATGACGTTAGACAAGGAATAAACTATAATTATTTCATTTCTACAAAAGATAAGATGCAACAACCGAGCCCAAACACAAGTGACGTAACTTCCTTTTCCGACCCACTTACGGAATCTGTGTGTGTTTCTTTCTTGGTATAGATAGTAAATACTGTATGATATCTGGGAGAAATGACGCCAGACTTAAGTTGAGATTACAACACGTAAACGAAACGACATAAGGATAAGACAATAATTAATATTTTTATACTGATGATGAGATGTCAAATAAACTAAAATTAATAAATAGAGGGCGCTAACACATTTTTTTTTCGTAAGCGAATGATGTAAGTTTTTAAGAGAAATTATGATTTAGTATTAGCTTGAGTTAATTTATTTTTACAGAATAACAAGGAAATCGAAAATATATAAAAATTTACTTTATCTGTATCGTTAAAAACAACAACACAATTTTCCTATGTTTTAGCCCTGTGGTACAACTCCGAATTTTAAAGCTGTGGGTGCATTATACAAGAGACAGTCAATTTCTCAGCGTGGGAAGTAGGGTTACGTTCACTGATTGTCTTCCCTCTAGCCAGTACTTTAAAATTTGGGGGCCCGGCATGGCCAGGTGGTTAAGGCACTCGACTCGCAATCTGAGGGTCGCGGGTTCGAATCCCTGTCACACCAGACATGCTCGCCCTTTCAGCCGTGGGGGCGTTATAATATGACGGTCAATCCCACTATTCGTTGGAAAAAGAGTAGCCCAAGAGATGGCGGTGGGTGGTGATGACTAGCTGCCTTCCCTTTAGTCTTACACTGCTAAATTAGGGACGGCTAGCGCAGATAGCCCTCGTGTAGCTTTGCGCGAAATTCAAAAACAAAACAAACAATCAAAATTTGGGACGTAGTAGGTTTGGTTGTTTGTTTTTGAATTTATGCACAAAGCTACACAATGGGCTATCTGTGCTCTGCCCACCACTGGTATCGAAACCCGGTTTCTAGCGTTGTAAGTCCGCAGACATACTGCTGTGCCACTGGGGGGCAGTAGTTTTGGTAAAAATACAAAAGTCGAGAATGACAAGTGTTACCGCGATAGAACAAAATATCGGGTCGTAATGTGTCGTTTGTTTTTATTAATTCTTAATTGTTTTATTATTCCAACGTGCTTGCTCTTTTTATTATTATTATTATGTATCTAGATGATTATTCTAAGCTTTATAATTTGTAGATAGAAAGGTTTAATAACGACCATTGTTTATCAATGTTTTTACGAGATAGATTGCGAGTCTTAACACTCTAGACCTTTTTTTTTTATCTGTTTCTGTAGGAACGTTTAGTTAGTTCAGGTTTTCTGGCCTGATGGTAGGTGCAATCTACGGGTTCGAATCCCGCCACCGAAGATGCTTACCATTTTAAACGAAGAAACTTTAGAATGTGACAGCTACTCGAACTTTTTATTAGTAAAGACCAGTCCAATATTTCGCGGGTGCTAACTAGCTGCCTTTGTTTGAAATTAAGGACAACTAGCGCAAATAGCCCTTGAGTATTTTAACAAATAAAACATTCAGATAAGTTCTGTTTATAAATAAAGAGATTGCTTCAAAGACTTCGTATGTTGGTTCACACAATATGAAAACTTTGCCCTAATATTAGTTTTCTCGAACAATAAATGTTAATTATATTTATACTACATAATTCATTATCAAAGTCTAATCCTCGTCAGTATCCCTACATTGTATACTATTGTATCCTACCAATCTTAGTATACAGGTTTATTTTCAATAAATCTACTTTACGTTGACTAGTACAAATAAATCTAGAAGAATTTTAATTTTAATTAGTCATGATTTGCTTTTTATAGTTTCAGAGAACCTGAATGTTTTTTAAAAATCAAACGCAAAATTTACGGGGAGGACTAAAACATATTAAAACATAAATATCAAAATACCGTAATAATAATTTATTCTTTAAAAAAATTAAACAGCGAACTAGTGGATCAAATTCAGAAAGCCAATGGAGACTGTGCTGCCATCTAGTAGGTAAATATACAAGCACACGTCGGA